GACATGAGCATCCACCTGGAGCCCCGTCCCAAGGGGCCTCCCCGGGGGCTGCTGCTGAGCACGGACCCTGGAGGTCATGCATCTGGGGCTTCTCATTTCTGCACACTGGACTGTGGCTGCAGCTCTGCTCTGGGCTCCTTCCCCACTCTCCCAGAAGGTCTCCTGTGCGGCTCACTCCTCCCACGGCCCCAGGACCTGGCCTGGTTTCCCAATGTCCACAAGCCCCTCTCTTCTCAGCTTCTGTCCTGAACCACTCTCAGTCTTGCATTTCTGTCAGGCTGGCGTTATCGTCTGTGGACCCCCCACCTCACCCTGGGGGTAGAAGGCAGGAACCATGAGCCAGATGTTGTGGGAGCACAGGACTTAAATGCGACCCTAGCCCACCTCTGAAGTTATTTGAGACCCTGGGTGGACCCGAGGGTCTGCTGACAGTCTCGCCTGTACCAGAAGAACCCTCCTGCTGAAGGCTGCTTGGTGCTTCGAGTGACATAAACTAAGATGGATACCCTCAGTTTGTAACTGAGAGAGCTCAGAAGCTATGGACCTCATACCGCGGGAGACACAGGATGTCACGACCTGTGAGCAGTCGAAGGCAGAGACTGTGTTCTTCATCTCAGCATCCCCACTGTCTGTGCAGGTCCTGGCACGTAGGAGGACCTCAACAAATGCACACTGCTCGGCTGACAAGATGCCCTGCGTAATCACAGCTCAGCTTTTACAAGGACGTGAAAAGATGCAACCTCACCCTAACTTCCCCATCCTCCTCCCACCAGGCCAGCTCCATTTCCAGACCTCACCCGGTCACCCACGTCCACTTGTGAGTCAGGATTGGCTCAAAGATGGAGCGAGCTCTGTCCCTGGACAAGGCTAGTTAAGTCAGCCTCGACCTTTAATCTGATGACTTTCTGATCCCATCTTTGCCATAATGTCTTTTCGTCTTTTGGTATTCCAACTAGGACAGAGGTTACTGCTTGGTCCTCTAAAACAAGCCTCAAAGAATCCACATGCATATCCCAGAAAGGGGAAAACCTACCTCCTCTCTTGTCCCACACCTGGGTCCATCTGTAGGGTACTACAGCTCAGTTGTTCTTAGCCTTGGCTTCACATTGAGCTTTCCTAGGGGGCGGGGGCAGTTAAAGATCCTAGGGCACAGACCAAACCGCAAAACCCTTGAATCACAATCACTTGGGATAGGGCTCAGGCACCAAACTTTTGAAATCTCCCGGGTGATACAAGTATTCAGCTGAGTAACCAAACCTAGAAAAACATTTCTCAAGACCGCAGCATGGATATTCGAAATCTGGTGGCGTGGAAAGAAACTTGCAAGTGATGATAGTGGTAATGTGAGTCTCTGACCAACACAGACATCCTGCCATTATTACCCAAATGTGGTGGTTACAGCTTGCCTGAGTTCTAAGATCTCTTTAAAAATAACATCAAGCCTGTTTACAGAATTTATTGGGAGAGAGAGATTGCTCTAATTCCACAGATACTGGTTGGATCTGTGTTTCTAAGAACTTTACTCTTTTTTTTTTTGCCTGTGTGAAACAGTTTTGTGTCTTAGTAGTGAAAAGGGGGGAAGTTACCAGGCCCTTGCGCTAAAATTGCATAGGCCAGTCAAAAATATTACACTCCATGTTTTGGAAAAGAAAAGTGATAAATAGCTAAAAGGTGAAAAGACCCAAGCGTCCACTAGAGGATACATGGATAGAGACCAGGTATGTGGTCTCTGTAGACAGGGGAATACTATTCTTGCATAAAAAGGAATGGGGGGGCACCTGGGTGGCTCAGTCGTTGGGCGTCTGCCTCCGGCGCAGGTCATGATCCCAGGGTCCTGGGTTCGAGCCCCACATCGGGCTCCCTGCTCAGCAGAGAGCCTGCTTCTCCCTCTCCCACTCCCCCTGCTTGTGTTCCCTCTCTCGCTGTGTCTCTCTCTGTCAAATAAATGAATAAAACCTTAAAAAAAAAAAAAAGGAATGGAATTCTGACAGATGCTACAGAACGAGTGGACTTGGAAAACATTTTTCTGTGTGAAATTAAGCAAACACAGAAGGACAAATATTGTATGATTCCACTTACACGAAGTACCTAGAATAGGCAAATTCATGCAGACAGAACGTAGAATAGAGGTTATCAGGGGGCTGGGGAAAAAGAGAGGAAAAATGTTTATTGATTAATGAGTACAGGGTTTGTGTTGGGGATGATGAAAAGGTTTTGGGTGAAGGCTGCACATCATTGTGAATGCATTTAAATGCCACTGTACTAGATAGAGTTAAGAGGGTAAATGTTATTTACATATATTTTACCACAATAAAATAGGGAGCACAATGGATGTGTTTAAGGTATTGAAAACTCTCACAGTCATTGAATCCACAGAGAATGGAAAAAGGAGAAAGGTGGTCAGAGCACACGTCTGTGGACACCCGAATGCATTAGAAGTCCCCCTGCCTGGGAAGCAGCATGACCTGAGCTCTGCACTGAGCCTGGTCTCTGAGCACCAAAGTCCTGGGAGCCCAGATCTTTGTTCATCCTGCTGTGCTTGGCAAAGAGGGAGAGGAACCCGCGGTACAGAGCCTGTTCCCTCTTGACTGACCACACTGAGTGGGAAGTAGGAGTCACTTCTCTCTGCATAGCAGGTGAGACCATCTGTGAATAGCAGCCTCGTGTTGCAGTGAAGAGCAAAGTGAAGGGCAAGAGCTCAAGGACTTCCCTGCAAGAGCCTGTAAAGTCTGGGGACTCAGAAAGTCTCTGGGCTATGTGAGATGCCCAGAGAAAGTGGGAGTCTGAAAATAAATTCTCGATAGCATGGAACACCTCACGAGGGACTTGTGATCAGGACTGAGAAGTCTGTGTGGGCACTCTCTTGGCTCACGGGGCATTCTGGGGCCTATGAAAGTTCGGAGCTTTTGCAACCCCAAGCCCCTCCTTCATCAGCCCTCTCCTGCACTCCCCCAGACACTCCGGTCCCAAGGCCTTTGAGGGAGGTGTTGTGAGGGATGTAGGAGGTGATGTAAAGAACACTCTGTGGGGCAGCCTGACCTCTTGGGATCAGAGAACTGTGGTGGTAGGGAGGCATTTTCAGCACAAAGACCTGGTGACGTCCCCTTTTCACTGCTAAGACACAAAACTGGTCCACATGGGGTTAAAAAAAAAATCTTTTAGAAACGCGGGTCTAACTCCTTCAGTGGCCTGTGCTCTGGTAGCTCGAAGGGGCTTGAGGGCTTTGCAGAGCTTGGTAGATAGCAGCGGGACACACCCTCAGGTCACATGGGACTTATCTCCCGCTCACAGGCCCCAACACATCTCATGGGATCTCATCTCAGTCTTCAGCAGGGCGCTGCTCAGAGGCCTCGTTGCTTAGGGGGGAACAGGAAATCCACTAGGAGAGACTCACTATCTCTCAAAGACAAACACAAAAAAGAAAAGGTTAATCTGGGGCGCCTGGGTGGTTCAGTCGTTTAAGCGTCTGCCTTCGGCTCAGGTCATGATCCCAGGGTCCTGGGATCGAGTCCAGCATCGGGCTCCCTGCTCAGCGGGGAGCCTGCTTCTCCCTCTGCCTGCATCTCCCCCTTGCTTGTGCTCGCACGCTCTCTCTGACAAATAAATTTTTTTTTTTTTTTAAGGAAAAGGTTAATCTCACTGACGTGAGGAAGATCAGGAACCTTCAAAAGGTGGAAACAAGCCAGGCGACCACCAACAGGTGGGTGGATAAACAAAACGTGATCCATACATAAGCAGAAGAGTACTCAGCCATAAAAAGGAGTGAAAATCTCATCCACCTGCCCAGGGAAGATCTCTGGAAGGGATGCTAAGTGGAATCAGTGCCTAACTCAGCCAGAGGAGAATGAATGATGCAAGGAATAATAAACATAAAAAGATCATTTTTTGAGCATGGACTGGCCACGCACGCTTGAACCTATTATGAAAGTAATTCTGAAAGACGAGGGAACTTGTAACTATGGACACACGTTCCCCAAGGCCCCACAAGGACTGTGTGCAGGAGCAGAGTCCTCAGAACTCAGTCCTGTGTTCTCTCTAGACACAAACAGGTGTGTCTTCCCAAGGCAAGCCTCTGATGTTAGGGGTGCTCTGGGGAGGAGCCTGAAGTCTTGGGATCAGAGAACCATGGCGGTAACAGGAAGCCGAGTGCAGAGGGCCATGCGGAGGCAAGTCCTCCTCCCCTGACGTTTTGTGGATATCGAGCTTTGTTGGTTTCTGGAAACCAGTTCATTCTGAGGTACAAGTCTAGCATTCTGAACCACTCCTGTCTACCTCCTCAGGCTTTTCCCAACCCCAGAATCCTTTCAGACATGCCTGGAGTGCTCCATACGCTGGACCCTGTGGATGTGTCCCTCTTAATTTAACATCGTGGCTGAGCGGAAACGTTTTTGGAGCTCGGCAGTCTGGGTTGAGATTTGGCTTCCCTTTGAGATTGACACAGGTGGTAAACCTGTGCAGTCCGAGGCAAATCTCTTCACTTTGCAGACTGAAATTCGATTCCTCCTCTATAAAAGTGGACCTCATTCTCCCTTGGGGTTTTTTTTTTTTTTTTGAGGGGGGTGGATCAGAGTGGTATTTCCCAAATGTGGAATACATCCCGTCTGTGTTATGTGTGATGATTTTAGGTGGAAGAAAGGACAATCAAAGCACGACATGGGGGCACCTGGGTGGCACAGTTAAGCGTCCAACTCTTAGTTTCGGCTCAGGTCGTGATCTCAGGGTTGTGGAATCGAGCCCTGTGTGGCGCTCTGTGCTCAGGGTGGAGCGCGCTTGAGATTCTCTCTCTCTCTCTCCCTCTCCCCTCCACTCTTGCACAAGCACGCTCGCTGTCTCTCAAATAAATCTTTTTTAAATAAGCACTACATGATCGCATGCAGTAAGCACTCCTGTAGAGTTTCTGATTATGTCACCAAGAAAGCTTATTGAAGCTAGTCTCTGATGTTGTGGATTGTGGCTAATTTCCTTTATTATTTTATTTTATTTTAAGATTTTATTTATTTATTTGACAGACAGACACAGCGAGAGAGGGAACACAAGCAGGGGGAGTGGGAGAGGGAGAAGCAGGCTTCCTGCTGAGCAAGAAGCCTGATGCGGGGCTCGATCCCAGGACCCTGGGATCATGACCTGAGCCGAAGGCAGACGCTTAACGACTGAGCCACCCAGGCGCCCCATGTAAGCACTTTTCTTTAAGCAAAAAAGACTGAGTCTATATTAAAAGCAAAACCCATTAAACCAATAAAGTACAGGTAGCAAAGGCATTCAGCAGAAATCAAGAACTCGGAACAAGAGTAATTGAAATTTCCAATGCATTGGTTTAGAGGTAATGTATGCATTGTACTCAGCGAGGTTTCTGATACATAGTATGCACTCATTAAACCAAAGCCAATGTTATGTTTTCTCTTTCCATCCACAGGCCAAACCTCTTACCAATTCTGTTGTTTCTATGGTCCCACCATGTTGCTCCGGGACACTTACTGAGAGGAGTGACAGTAGCTTAGGGATCATGGCAGCATGTCACTGTCAGCCTCTCCAGCACCTTTCTTGGGTTGTGCCGTCTGCAGGTGAGCAAGGAACTGGGGTGGCCATGCCTTGCCCTGTATCTAGAGTGTGGGAAGTAATGATTTTTCTGACTTTTCAGTTCCTTCTTCCACACCGCGTTCTGAAAACGTTGGTGCTGCTGATTGCAACATACTCCTTACGCACTGAGCGTCAAAGACTTGGCTCACAGAAAGTCCTCATCTGTCTCAGATTTCTGGCATCAAGCATGTGGACCCCCGCCCCCTCCAAATGCCTGAGGCTTGAGCCTGAAGGGTTCCTCCGAGGAGATGAAGGTACTTCACTGTTGAGAATATTGGAAAATCCTGGACAGACATTCAGGTTGCTAGACATTGCCCACTGTCTTTTTTTTTTTAGATTTTATTTACTTATTTGAGACAGCGAGCGAGTGACCGAGCGAGTGAGTGAGAGAGAGCATGGCGGGGAAGGGCAGAGGAAGAGGGAGAAGCAGGCTCCCTCCTGACCCTGGGATCATGACCTGAGCTGAGGGCAGATGCTTCACCGACTGAACCACCCAGACACCCCAACATTGCCCACTGTCTTAAGAGCTAAGGACTACAGCCAAATAGTTCCTTTTTTTTTTTTTTTAAGTAAACTATGTCCATTGTGGGTCTCAAACTCACAACCCCGAGATCAGGAGTCGCATGCTCTACCGACTGAGCCAGGCAGGCACCCCACCAAATAGTTCTTTTACTAACTGTGCTAGTGAGGTTCAGTTGCTAAAGCAGACTTGTAGAACCCAAATATTGTGTGTTGCAGGAGAAGAATACAATATAGCAGCTGTCTAGCATTAAACTGAGAGTGTGTATCCCAGGCAAAAAGATCTCTGTCCTTTCACACAACTTCCTAGATGGACTTTCTGTCTTGGGTCAGGAGTCACTCGCAAAGCCCCTCAGATCCTTGGCTGGGGTTTCTTAGTCCATGACGGGCATGTGGCAGAGGCCTCTGGAGGGTCATCATTCCCACGTTTACCAGTAAATAATGCTGAGAAGCTGGCACCAAGCTCTCCAGGACCTCTGGGACCCGTGGTTACAGAGCAACACTATTAATCAGTAGGTTTTATTGCACAAGCAGAAGTCAGTGTCGTGGGATACATTTTCATGTCAGCAGAATAGCTCAGACCAATTCCTGCTGAAACAAACCTCACAGCACCATACTCGAATAACCATCATGCATGGGCACAGCGCCACGTTCTTCAGGATTTGCAGTGGCTTTTGTGAAGCCACGGTCTCTATACCCAAAATCATTTTTGTCTCCTGGAAAAGCTGTGTGTGACTCACAGGCTCCTACTTAGCCAGGAAATGAAATTATCAGAAGGTCTGAAATGGCAGCTTTCCATTCTTTTTTTCACCACCCTCACTGATTTTGTCTCTAGGTAGGAAAATGTGTCTCTGCAAATTAAAAATGTAAATCCTGGTTTACCTACATTTTGACCAACTTGCTGAGTTCATGATGCAGGTGAACCAGTGTGCTTCCTGCCAAATCGTATTTGGTGAAATTCGGGCAGCAGAAGCAAATTAACGGGAAATATGTAAAATGAGGGGCAGCAGGGCAGGTTCCCTTGTGCAAAGACGTAGAGGTGGGAGAGGCAGGTGCAGGAGTTGGAATCCAGCTCTGTCTCAGAAGCCCATTCCCTTTCCAGAAAACCATCTGAAGCTCCCTCAGCAGTGGTGAAGGTGCCTCCTTGTCTCAGGTTCATTGTGTGGAAGGGTACACATGAGGGTTTCAGCATTTTGGTTATCTGTTGCTGTGTAATAACATTACCACAAATACAGCAGCTTCAGCAACACATCTTCACTATCTCATAGTTTCTGGGGCCAGGAACCCAAGCATTGCTGAGCAGGATCCTCTGTGGGCTGCCATCACCATATCAGCCAGGGCTGGGGTCTAATCTGAAGGTTCAGCTGGGGAAGGATCCACTTCCAAGCTGCAGTGCAATTCTGACATGAACCACCCAGAGTTAGCAGACTTCACAGGCTGAGGATGCAGTGCCCACAAGACTGTCCTCGCTGCAGGCTCAGGTGTTCCAGAGTCACTTGCACCTCTGAACCAATACCTAAAATTTTGGAGAGTCCTACTACACCTGTCAGATTCATTAACTTGCTAGAAGCACTCAAGGAATTCAGGAAAGCACTATACTTATGATTATAGTTTTTCTTATAAAGGATACAAATCAAGACCACCTAGATGAAGAGACACATGGGGGAGTCTAAGAGGGCCCCCAAAGCAAAGTTTCCTGTATTCTCAGGATGTGTCACCAAGCAGGAAGCTCCCCGAATGTCCAGAGTTTTCATCGGAATTTCCTTACATAGGTGTGATTGATTGAATCATTGCCCACATGACTGACTCTGTCTCCAGCCCCCTCTCATCCCCAGAGGTCAAGGCTGTAACCCTGTAATCACATGGTTGGTCTTTCTGGCATCACCAGCCCCCATCCTGGGGCATCTCACTGACATAAACCCAGGTGTGGTACAAGGCACCCACTGTGAATAACAAAGATGCTCCTGTTACTCGAGAGATTCCAAGTACTTAGAGATTACCTCCCCGGAGCCAAGGACAAAGATCAGCCAAATTCTTTATTATATGACACAAGCCCACATGCTTGTTGGCGGGAGTCAATTCCTTACTGGCTGGAGACTATTCTCAGTTCCTTGCCAAGTGGGCTTCTCCAAAATGGGGAACTCATATCATCACGCAAGTGCACAATCATAGAAGGCAGGAAAGAGCCTGCTGTCTAGATGGTAGTTGTATTCTTCATTAACACGACTGCTGAAGTGACATCCTGTCTCCTTTGCTATATTCTGTAGGTTAGAAGCAAGTTTCCAAAACCAGGGGAGGGGATTACACGGAGGCACAAATACCAGGAGTGAGAATAATTGGCGGTCACAAGCCACAATGAAGGCTCGCTCAAGCCCACAAACTTGTGTAAGGTCATGGCGGCAGTTTTGTGGAGAGAAGGGAGTGGGAGCAGAAGAGTGGCAGTCAAGAAAGGCACTGAGCGCTTGTCAGGAAGGAAGCAGGAAGTGGGACAACCCCTCTGGAAAACTGCTGACAGGTGTCTAATGAAATGAAGCATACACCTGTTCTTTGACCCAGCCGTCCCACTATTTATAATCCAGGGGAAGACCTGCATATGTGCCTGTCATAGACAGGCTTATGTCAAAGACATAGCCAAGAGTATTCGTGCAACCTGACCCATAGAAGCCTCAGCCTGGAGACAACCCAAGTGTCCTTCCACTGGAGAATGGATCAACAGATTGTGGCATGAACGTGCAACGGAGTAATACTGAGCAGTAAAAAGGGAAGAAGGTACCAATGTGAGTAATATCTGGGATAAACCTCAGAAACAACATCTTCGCATGGAAGCAGCCCACACAGAAGAATTCACGTGGTGTACTGCGTGTATATGGGTGCGTATGAGGAAGGGGCAAAAGTCATCCAAGGCGATACAAGTCAGAAAAAGGAATGATCTCAGGGGAAGGGTGGTTAGCTGGAGAGTGGCACAAAGAAAACTTCTGGAGTGCTAGAAATACTGTTTTTAATTGGACAGTGGTTATACCAAAGGAGACAGGTAGAGATAAGGTTTGTGCATCTTACTCTACACAAATGATACCTCTTATTTAAAAAAAATAAATTTTTAGAAGAAGTAAACAAGTCTTCATTGGAGATTTGAGGAAAGGGATCCCCATTTGCTTAGTGCCTCAAGGGTCCTCTCTCCATCGTCCATCCCCTTGTTGGAAGTTCTTCCTTCCCAGGCTCCAGGTGCTCTCCTGGCTATGCCTTAAGGGTTGAGTACACACAGGTTTCCAGAGGCTGCTCCATCTGGCTGGAGGGACCCTCACTTAGGGCTCTGATGTTCAGCTCAGCATAAGTCACTCCATGGGGTTCCTCAGCTCTTGAGACCTGGGATGTTTTATCCTGAAGGGAAGCAAGGAGAAAAGGACCAAGTATTCCTGGGAAAGAGTGTTAGATTGTGAAGATTTAGCATTTGTAACAACAGTGTGGTAGACAGCTGTATTAGAAAGAGCCTCTTGCACTTTGAGTCTTGGTGCAGTCCCCTACCCTCTTGAAGGTTGGTGGGACCTAGGGACATGCATCTGTCAAACAGAGTTAAGTGAAAAGGATGGGCTGTCCTGTGTCTTCGTGTCCCAGACTAGGTGGTGAAAGACTGACTTCCGTCTTGTTCACACCTGTCTATTTTCAGGTCCCTCACTCATGCTGATCAAGCCAGCTGCTGGGTTATGATCTGTCCTATGGAAAGGCCCACATGGTCAGGGTGGTCTCTGGCCAGCAGCCAGCAAGGAACTGAATCCTGCCAGCCACCACCTGAGTGAGTGAGTGTGGAAACAAATCCAAGCCTGAACCAGCCCTGGCCAAGCCCTTCATGCCAGCCTGTGAGACCAGTGTGAGTCACACCCAGATTCCTGACCTGCAGACACCGTGAGATCATAAGTGTTGCCTTAAGCCATTGTGTTTGGGGATCATTTGTTATGAAACCATAGATAACTCATACAAACAGCCACCAAAGAGAGTGTTAACCTGAAATGTACAGAATAGGTCAGTCCTTAGGCACAGAAAGCTAGTGGTGGTCAGGTGCTTGGGGTGGGGGTATGGGCATGCAGAGAGTGCTTAAAGGCTGTGGGATTTCCTCTGGGGTGATGAAAATGTTCTGGAACTAGATAATGGTGATTTTTGCACAACATTGTGAATATTCCAACAATTGCTAACTTGTACAGGTTAAACGGTGAGTTTTGTGTTATATGCATTTTGCCGCCATTTTAAAAAAAATTGAAGTGTAAATGGAAACAATAAGGGTCATTATTGATAACTGCAGGTTGTAGTTTGCAGGTACTTCATGGTAGGTGGTTGCCATATTTTCATAAATAGCATGAAGAGGTGGGGCACATTATCCCCATTGTCCAGATGAAGAAACAGAGGCTCAGGGAGGGAAAGTCACTGGCCCGAGATTATAACAGATAGTTTATAATAATAGCAGCTTCAGGAGCACTGAATGCTTACACCATGCCTGGGATCCTACTGATCATTGTGTGGCTCTGAGCTCCTTAAATCATCCCATTCATCCCAGAAAGAAGGTGATGTGCATCCCATGTCACATGGGGAAATGTCCCCAGAAAGGACAAGTGATGGGATGAAGGTCCCCTGGCCAGAGAAGGCACAGAAAATTTCAGACCAGATTGTCCTGGAAAGTAGAGCAAGGGTGGGGGTAGAGGAAAGCAGAGGCCCAAACCATTGACAAAACTGGAGGGAGTGACAGAGAGCTTGGGTTGAGGGGATGACGGGAAATGGCCACAGCGGAAACTCACTGAGGCAGGAGAGCAGCTCATCATAGCTGCGGGTGGATCTGGGAAGGAAAAATTCTGCTGTTGCTTCACCCCTAGGCTCCGGGGTTAAGTCTGCACGCACACACGCGTGTGCACACATGAATACTCATACACACATCCACATGCACAAGAACATGCAAACCACACATGTACACACACATCACACTCATACACATGTCTACACATGCATGCTCTCACACACATGCACACACATGTTCACATGCATACATGCATCCCTGCACACCTACACATGCGGTCGCACATGCACACTCAAATACACATGCTTACGTGAGCACAAGCAGCACACGTGTGTGCACACACCACACAAATAGAAATACACACACACATGTACCCACCACCACTTTCTTTCTCAGGCTGAATACTTGTCCCCACTTCTTCAGGTTCCTTAGAGTGGGACCTAAAAGAAAGAGTGAAGCATTAGAGGTAAAGGAAATTGGTAAAGGTAAAAGGAATCGGGATCATTGTGGGTAGATGGAGGTGAGGTGCCAAGCAAGATCATGTGTAAACCAAAGTCCCCCCCACTTACTCGACACTCATACACCCCTCCCTGGGGTCCCTGAGTCATTCAGGTGCTCAGCAAAGTCTTGAGAGGTGAGGAGGGGAAGTGGTTGGGGGCAGTGTGGTCCATGAGGAAAGGATCCAAGGAAAGAACACTGAGTGAGAAGTGGAGGGTGGTTGTAAGAAGGGAGGACATGGAGAGACACAGGATGGTTGCTGGGGCTGCTTGGGGCCACATAAAATGTTGAGGGAAGAAAGAAGGTCTTGAGTAGTCAAGGCAGCAATGGAGGAAGAGTTAAGTATGGGCATATGGGATCCTCTGAGTAGCTCTACCGTTTGGTCATCTTGTCCAGAGCTGCCCCTGGGGATAAAAGAGAGACAGGATCAACCCTGTGGTGTTACTTCCCCATTCTATTTCTCCCATTTCCTCCCAAATATTTAGCTGTTGTTTTCCTGAACTCACCACATCGGGTGTATTTCCAGATGAAGAAGGTTCCAAGGAGGAAGAGAAAGATGAAGATGACAATGAGGGTGATCCCAGTGGTCCCTGGGGAGAGGTGAGGGGTTAAGAGGGCCCACGGTTTCCTGAGACACTCTCTGGTGCCTCAGTGTGTCTCCATCGATTGAGTTCCTACCACGTGCTGGAGAGCTCACTACGTTTTTTACATGTGATGCCCATTTTACAGATGCAGAAGCTGAACGTCAGAGGGTTGAAGTACTATTTCCAAAGTGGCCCAGCTACCGAGGTGGCAGAGCTGTGCCTCTGATCCTCCCCACCTCGGAAGACCTTGTACTGAGCCACAGCCTTCAGGCATCACCAACAGATAGACAGACATCCTCGAGAATTTTCCCAGGGGTGGATAACTCATGGCTGCACAAGGACGTCTCATCCCACGGGTGAATGACTGTATGTCCCAGGAAGCTCGACTCTCTTACCTAGCTCTGTTTCTGCCATCTTGGGAGACTTCCTTTCAGTTTTACCTAGAAGA